TGTGTGTGTGTGTGTGTGTGTGTGTGTGTGTGTGTGACTTCATCCCACCTCCAGCATGAGTTATTTCATATTGTCTCTTGTGTCTCTCAGTGACGGTCACTCCTGGCTATTTCTGCTGTCGAGGTATCTACACTTCCTGTCTGTGTCTCACTCTGTCCATCTGTCCGTCCAGCTGTCCGCCTCCATCTCTAACCACAGCTGTCCTCAGTGTGTCCACATCAGGGCTGGGATTCACAGCTCGCCTCACAAACGGACCCAAAACATCCTGATAAAGTCAAACGTTTATTATAATAAATATAAAATATTCCCTAAATAACAGAATATTTATGGTCAGTGGGATGGAGGTCAGTCACAGGCACATCCATCCCTGGGTTTTGTTGACGTTTACTGCGTACCCACACAGCAAACTGCACAGTTTAATGAAACTTACGATCAGTTTTTGTGTTTTAGTTTTCAGTTAGTTCCTTTAAGGATAATAATTCAATGTTTAACATATTTTCACATTAAATTAAATTGAAATTAAAGATAAATCAGCAGCCTGCCAGTTCAAATGACAGAAATATACAGATTATTATTAAAAACAAACAAGGAGACAGGAGTTTTAGAGATCCTGGCTGTTTTAGATTTATTTTATTTTCCTAAAAACATTTTTCTTCTCATCTTTTCTTAATTCTCAGTTAATTTTCTGGTTTGTTTTCTTGGTTCAAATTTTTAAAAAGCCTCAAATGAGAAGAAAAACGTCTTAAAGAATCAAAAGTTAGATTTTGATTCAGGATTTCTGAGTTTTTAGTTTTTGCAAAGCGAGTCATGAAAATACCCCTCCCCCCGTCCTTCGTCTAAACCCTGGTCCCACCCTATTCCCACCCCGGTCCTTGTCCCACCCTGGTCCTACATTGGTCCTACTATGGTCCTACATTGGTCCGACCATGGTCCTACATTGGTCCCACCATGGTCCTACATTGGTCCCACCATGGTCCTACATTGGTCCCACCATGGTCCCACCATGGTCCTACATTGGTCCCACCATGGTCCTACATTGGTCCCACCATGGTCCTACATTGGTCCCACCCTGGTCCCACCATGGTCCCAACCTGGTCCTACATTGGTCCCACCCTGGTCCTACATTGGTCCCACCCTGGTCCTACATTGGTCCCACCATGGTCCCACATTGGTCCTACATTGGTCCCACCATGGTCCCACATTGGTCCTACATTGGTCCCACCATGGTCCCACATTGGTCCCACCGTGGTCCCACCCTGGTCCCACCGTGGTCCCACCCTGGTCCCACCATGGTCCCACCCTGGTCCCACCATGGTCCCACCGTGGTCCCACCCTGGTCCCACCATGGTCCCAACCTGGTCCTACATTGGTCCCACCCTGGTCCTACATTGGTCCCACCATGGTCCTACCCTGGTCCTACCATGGTTCTACCCTGGTCCCACCATGGTCCCACCCTGGTCCTACTATCGTCCTACATTTGTCCCACCATGGTCCTACCATAACCCCACTTACATTGGTCCCACCATGGTCCTACCATGGTCCCGCCCTAGTCCTACATTGGTCCCACCATGGTCCTACCATGGTCCCGCCCTAGTCCTACATTGGTCCCCCCGGTCCTACCATTGTCCCACATTATTCCCACCCCGGTCCTACCCTTGTCCCGGTCCCAGCCCAATCCAACCCTGGTCCCACTCTGGTCCCACCCCGGTCCCACCCTTTTCCCACTCAGGTCCTGGTCCCAGCCCGATCCTACCCTGGTCCTGGTCCCACCCCAGTCCATGTGTGTGTCATCAGGTTTTTGTGCATCGCTTCATGCAGGACTTGGTCAGACCCTGGTCTTTAGTTTCTGTAAAACTTTGATAAACCTCTGCTGATAAATAAAGACAGGAATTGGATCTAAGCGGGGAGGTGGGTGGAGCCTAAGACCTGGGCGTGGCCAGCCTGGGTTTCTAACAGCGCTTGCTGGTGTTGGCTGGTTGTTGGGAGGCGGGGCCAGGACGCACCTGGCTGGCTTCACTGCAGGCTGCACCTGTTTGTTGACTCACCTGGAAACATTTTCTGTCCAGATTTGTTTTTATGTTTCGTTTTCTTTGTGGCTGCTCCTCCAGGCTCCTGCAGGCTTCTTGTTGTCTGCTGAGGCTGCTTCACTTCCTGTCTGAGAACACTGCTCAGTGTTTGATGGAACAGACCTGACATCTTTCTTTACTCAGACTGAGAAAAACTACAAATTATCTACAAATTATCAGACCAGAGGGGGGCTTTGCTCCCAGCTCGCTTTTATTAAATACGCAACAAAAGTCTGGTAAAAATCAGGTTTTTATTCACGTTAAAGCTGGAGACTAAATGTTTAATCTAGGTGCACACGATTCACATAGTTTTAGTTTTTATTCTGCTGGATAAACCAAAGATTATGACGTTTTGACAAATTTGTTTCCCAAAATGTTAAAGTAATCATCTGATTATAACATTTATCAAAAATGATTCCTTTTTAAAGCTGCTCGTTTGATGAATTAATGTTTGTAAAGTTTTAAAATGTAAAGATTTAGTTTAGTTTTTATTATTGTTTTTTTTTGTTTTGTTTTCCTCATAATTTAACCAGACTAAGATGGTTAGAAACTAATGAAAAACAGATTTACATGAGTTTTATTTGACAAAATTATAATTAGGACCAAACGTGGCTCACGACTCATTTAATTAATTATTAGTTTTTTTTTTTTATGGAAATAGAACAGAACTTTATGACTAAATCCAACAGATTAATGTCTAAAATGCTAAAAACTTGTGATAAAACAAATAAAAGTAGATAAAACCTCCTCCTGGACAACCTTTAAATCAGAGGATTGTGAGGAAGTGTTTTTATTTTTAACGTATAAAAAGTAAAAACTATCTCCAGCTCTTTAACTCTCTGGCTTTCGTTGCGTATCTAAATCTTTTTTATTCACACGTCTTCACTTTCCTCCTTCCTCCACAAATGGCTCCAAGTTTGTAATTTTCTGACTTCCTGAACTGCCACCTGCACAAACCAAACGCTCGCTCCGCTCACGTGCACTCTCAGAACGAAACGTGCACCTGCCTGTGACGTCCGCAGCCGAAGGAAGCTGCTCCTCCTCACGCTGCTCGCTGCCTCTGCTGCCCCCTGCTGGAGGGAAGTGAACTGAGAAAATGGGTCCATGTTTTCAGCTTCCTGCTGGTTTCTGTCTGCAGCTCGAGGCCGCACCAACCTGGAGCTGAGGGAGAAGTTCATCCTCCCTGAGGGGGCGTCCTCGGGCCTGGCTGCCTTCCGCTCCCGGGGCCGCCGCTCCAAACCGGGCTCCCGCAACGCCTCGCCCACCCGCTCCTCCTCCTCTGCCTCCCACAGCGGCGCCTCCCTCCCCTCGGCGCCCTCCGCCCCCGCCACTCCGACGGCCTCGGCATCATCCCGGGTAAGAGCTGGCATTTAACTGGCCTTTTGTGGTTTTCTTCATGTGTAAAGTTTTACACACTCAATACACACTAAACTAAATAGTAAAGTTTTAAGCTGACAATCTTCCCAGGAGTAATTCACCCCAAAGGTCAGACTGTGCAGTGCTCAGAGCCTCAGTTAGCAGGTCAAAGGTCATGACTTGTTTAGGAGAAAACAGCCATGTTCATTCATGGGTTGCAGCCGATGTTGGTAAACAGCTGTGAAATGAGACGGTCTGGTCTACAGTTTGATCACGCACCGCCTCGTTTTGTCACATCGCTTCAGTTGGTTTTTTTAAGATTTAACTTCACAAAATTCAGTTTTAATAGAAAAACATCCCAAGTAAATAAATAAAAAGCATTAATAATTTAGTTAGTCAGTTTAATTTATTC